TGTTAAGTAAAAACCTTTTTTTTAATAATATTAAATGTCAACCTCGCTCAAGATTAATAAAACTAACATATGATTAAATATTTCGTTGCAATGTATTTTTAAAATGATCTGACATACTCCTATCTTTGACTTGATCACTGGCTTTATTGAATTCGTAAAAAGGGTTCGTGCGCCGAGAAGGAATTGATAAGATTTATGTTCGTAAGGGATAAATCTATCAACTGTGAATTTATTCCGACAAATAAATTCGATTTCGAATTGCTTGGAATAAGTGATTACTGGTAAACATACAAACTGTACTAAACATTATCGTATAATCCTGTGTATTTTAGTATTCTTATTTTTTGTAAGTTACCAAGCCCGAGTTGAATTGGCTGATTGAGGTGGACATAGTGTTTAACCTGTTTAATTATTACGTTCCTGACAGTAACCGGACTGGGGATGACGATTTCGTTGAATGTGACTTTCGTACTGTTAATTAGTATAAACGTCTAAAATCAGCCATCTGCTTACAAGACAGTTTGTGATAACTACAGAAATCCCCTTATACAATATATGGATTTGATGTAATATCAGACCTTATGCGAATTATTTTTGATATTTAGACGAACTAATCGGCCACTGTCCTATTCAACATAAATGGCTGGGTCATATTTCACATGACGGAATAATAGAGATTCCGTAATACCTTCAAGGAAGTTTCGTCAGCTCTCAGCATTTTGTAATTCTACCCTCACTAATTTCAAGCTTTCCAAAGATTATCCGCAAATATCGCTATCCCCAACGTAAACTAACAGTAATTGTTCATGCATCGCAAGATTGCAAAGAAATCTCTACATTACTATGTTATCACATTTAGCTTTGGTCCAAAGGTGAAAATCCGACGTTTTACACATTTTACCTGGCGTTCAGCATTTGTTTTCAATATAATATAAATAACGATCTTTAAATGTTATTACACAGCTTTTTGGAGTAGTTGGTAATACCTTATGTTGTTCACGTTTCAGTAAGCTTATGTAGTCTCATACGTGACAGCTGATAAGCCTGTCTCCGAACAGCGTACACAAACATGAGTCGGAAAATTTTCACTTGGAATTAATTATAACCGGGAATGTTTCAACTTAAGATTTTCACGGAATATCTCTCGAGCTCTTGGGAAATTACCCAATACAGCGACTTAAATTGATCGGTTTAGAAGACCACTGGCTAATTATAAAGAAAGACCAAAGGTCATTAATTGGCGATCGGAAAATATCTTATGGAAATTATGTTATTTTATTTATCTACCATAATATTTTGGCGGTTTTAACGGTATTGGTTCAATTTTCGACAGGAACTAGAAATTTATATATTTATCTGGGTGGTAGGAGGGTATATGGATACGTCTGAAAAGAAAATAATAAAAATATACATAAGGATCAGGGTGTATTTTCATATTATATTATTTCCGTATGTGACACATGCAGCGAAGGTAATCTTATCTCATAATTTACTTATTTATTACAGTTATGGGTAATAAATATTTCAGTCATGAAAAACTGATTCTCTATTTATTTCAGAAAAAGCAGTCATGAAACTCTGCCATCCCGAAAATGTAAAGTGATCTCTACAGCGTTTGTTTATGTTACTTTACTCGTATCACTGGTACATGTTATATCTTACATATATAAATATCGCCGTTCGAAGGACAATACTTTAAATCATTTAGTATTACCATGTGGTCTGGTATGAATAATCAAACATAAATAGAAATTTATAACGATTTTAGGACACATTCTTTTTCCCCAAACTAAGCAATGCTTGTACTATGGGTACTAGAAAACTTTACATACTTTTCTTTTGTAAACAAATACACATTATACATATAAAAACGCCCAGACACTAGAAAAACACTATGCTCATTACACAATATTTTTCCAGTAGTGGGGATCGAACCCACACCCTCTGGCGCAGAAGGTACACTACCGACTACGCCATTCGGGTCGTCGATTATCTTTAGGTAATAATTCATTATATTCCGTACTGTACTGGAAAATCGGCGGGATTAGAATCTGCTTCTTCCAGGTGACAATGCCCGATGCTCTAACTACTGAGTTAATCGTTCTATATGTGTCGGCCGATATGTGTCTTTCATAAAATTCTTAAGTTAGAGGTTTTTACTTTGGTAAATATAATATATTTAAGGCAAATCATATTCTCTGTTATACGCCCATTACACAGAAAGGTTGCATGGGGCTTTCCAGGCCCAGGTTGGTAAGTATAGTTGCATGTTAATTTCGAAACTCGCAGGGGAAGAACCCCTGCGACTTTCGAAATATAATAATTTTCAAATAAACCCGCGACTCCGGTCATATAAATTAAGTGACGTAACTAAAATTTGTATACCTTTAAACGAGCAATTCTTGTATATATAGGTATACTTATATGTAATTAGAATCTCGGAAAAATCGATCTAGCTAGGTTTCATTTTTAGAAAATGTCCTTTTATCCCTGTTTTCAGGGAATGAAAAATATCATTCGTATATGACGGTAAATTTCGCCGAAAAAATCATTAATACACTTATTTTTTAAATTTATTTTCCATACCAGCTCATTGCTTTCATTATTTATTATTTTTTTTTATTTCCAAAATACACGATTTACGTCGCCTTATGTCAATATATTTCACGAAAAAAAACTCTTAACTATGACAAGATTTTTTTTTCTTGTAAATAAATTATCTGGTCTCAATACAAATTTTCTTTAATTGTTATATTATCTATGATACATTTTAAATGTAGCTTAAAGTTTTATTTTAATTATAACTAGGCATGTCCTTGCTTTTGAGCTTTACTTTTCATATTCAATGACCACGGTTTTGGGCGAAACATTTACTGTTTCCTATCCTGCTTCACAGTATAGTGTTCGCGTAAACACAGCTGTAACTTTAATGAAAACAACTTTACTGTCCTGACCTTTCGGCATAATTCATCGCAGGTCCGACGGACTTTACGGCAAGAGAATATAGCAAACGCTAATTTAGTCCCGCTGCAATGTTGATTCTGCATTGTTCTTGAATTTTGTAAGCGCATCTGAACGTTATTCCAAATACTATTCAATAGAATTTCCATACACATACGACGAGTGAATATATATCCCGCGTATACAGCATTGTGCATACAATATGGCGGACGAAACAAAGAATGTTTCTTTGAATGCGTACTTTGTTCAGCTCTCGATGATAATTCAACTTTATATGTATTATAACAAAATGTTTATAACAAAATAATTATAACAGAACATGAAATTTTAAATTAGTGTTATTAAATCCATGTGTCGTTATTTTTACTGCTGGGGACACTTTACATAACGCGACTAGCTTACCACATATATCTGTCGAACAGTGCTCACGTAGAAATCGTGTTTCTTTCCTTAGACAATAGCGAACTTTTAAGCGTTTAAATATATCTATCAAAATAAAGAAAAGAGAGAAACTTAAAAAAAATGTTTCTGAACGGATGGGCAGGTCCATCCGACCGGTGATAAATTTAAATTATGCCGAACCGAACACCGCTTTAATTCATCTTTTACGCGGCACTGAAAACAAATTAAAGAATTTACGCTAATGGACTATAGTATAATTTTCATAAGGGAAGAAGATTTTAATAGTAAACGTAAATATTTTAATATTTTTCTATGAGAACGATACTAATAATATGAGATTAGAAATAGAAATATTATCAATGGATAATATATCAATTGAAATATCGCTACAATCCGTGATAGCTCAATATCAGGGTGCTCACTTTATATACTAGAGTAACCTGAGTTCAAATATCGGTGACAGCACCAATGAAATTGTTAATTTTAAGTGCTTTTATCACTTGCTCAGCGATAAAGGAGCACACCGTGAGGAAACCTGCATATTTATTTTAACATTTCATTTTGTTATAATAATTTTCCCTTCCATTTTCAAAGAGCTCGATGAGTGGCCAATCAGCAATGAGTTGACGCAAAACTCGTTCAGAACGGTGACGTGAAAATCGTTTCCGGTACTAGCCGTTTAATGAATTAATGATCAAGATGAATCGTGAATAAAGGTATTTTGACTATCAATAAGCGAGTGTAATACTCCTATGTTGAATAACTAAACTAAAACTAAACAAGTTGTAAATAAATTGATATTTTATGTTCATTAGCATACCACATGTTGATTAAATTTTATATTCATTATAGTATGATACTACAAATATCAATATCAACATTATTTATTTAATCTTAACGATAAATTTAGTTAAGTTATTGTTAAGATTGAATCATCCCATACTTACAGAGCACCTGTGGTAGTCTATTGGCGATACGCATTACTTATACAAATCACAGTCACTAAGCTTCGTCTTTAATCTTCGGTTACCTAATCAACAGATGAAACGCACTGAAATTCATCTAACAGTGAGTAATATTTTGAATTTAATTCCTTTTACAGATATGCCTCTTTTATATTGGTAGATTAATAAAAGCCTATTTAAAGATCGGAAGAAGAAAAGGACGAAAGATTGCTTCTTATTAAACTTTGCTTGCTTTCTTAGTAAACCAGATGCTGCAAAAAACTTTGGCCTTATTTTGTGATTTTTTTAATGCGCTTAAAAAGCCCAAGATGAAATTTAAATATTAATTAGTTCGAAAATATAAATTGTGGTAATAATGTTTTGCTTTGCTCGAATCAGAATCTGCGTAATTTTAACGTAACCATTAGAAATAAACCATAATGTTTGTGTCTAATATTACTAGTTTTTGGCAGAATCTATGAAAAATAGTACTAGAACTACAACTTATTTTTTTTATTTTAATGTGAAATAGGAAAAAGAAATATTTTAACCGTTTAAAATATATCCGTTTAATTTATTCTCTGCATATTACTTATGTTGGCAACACTAAAAGAAGTTATTCCTTGAGGTTGTTGGCAACACTAAAAGAAGTGTCATTCTATGAGGTATAAATGAAGCTGCAAGAAGCATTTCATGGTCTTCGTCGTCGTCTTCGTCGGCTTCTTCGTCGGCTTCTTCGTCGGCTTCTTCGTCGGCTTCTTCGTCGGCTTCTTCGTCGGCTTCTTCGTCGGCTTCTTCGTCGGCTTCTTCGTCGGCTTCTTCGTCGGCTTCTTCGTCGGCTTCTTCGTCGGCTTCTTCGTCGGCTTGTTCGTCGGCTTCTTCGTCGGCTTCTTCGTCGGCTTCTTCGTTGGCTTCTTCGTCGGCTTCTTCGTCGGCTTCTTCGTCGTCTTCTTCGTCGGCTTCTTCGTCGGCTTCTTCGTCGGCTTCTACGTCGGCTTCTACGTCGGCTTCTTCGTCGGCTTCTTCGTCGGCTTCTTCGTCGGCTTCTTCGTTGGCTTCTTCGTCGGCTTCTTCGTCGGCTTCTTCTTTGGTTTCTTCTTCGGCTTCTTCCTCGGCTGTCAACAAGAAGTATACGCGATAGTGCTGCCCAATCAGTATCACAGATTAAATAGTTAGAGTCGTGTTTCTTCAGTGTAAAAGTGATAAAATAAGTAATTATACCAGTGTTATTGTTGTGCAAAATGAAACTACGGTGATTTGGTAAAAGTGTTTACATTTGTAACTTCTTAGCTCGATAAAACAAAGTATAGCTTACACTTATATTGTAAAAATTTCACTCGCTGCTTAAATAGATTTGACCTGAACCGAAATGATGTCTCTGCAAAATCACCCCCCTCCACCGATTTCATTATGTCCATATCAAAGCGACCTTATCTGTCACCAGCAATTACGTACGCGACACGTCGCTCATTTCCTCCCGTTTAAATTCGGATAATTTACGAAGTTTGCGAAATCATATCTGTTTCAACGAAATTTCTTTTAATACGAATATTATTTTATAGTATTCAAGAAATCAACATTATTTCGAATATAGACCTATCAAGTTAAAATGTGTTGTATTTATATTTTTCGAAATCTAAACACAATAAAACTTTTAACTAAATCCATTTCAAAGATTGGAAAATTACAGATAAAGAAACAGGCGTTTTGTTAAGTTTATTTTTATAGGGAAAAGGTTGCGAATGAGAAAGAGGTTCGCTTAATATTATGTGACTATTTCTAGGTGGGACATCTATTATATAAGGCTGTAGTTGCAGATAAGAGGGGTCTTACTTATACACAGAACTCATTACACTTATTGTGTTAATGGGAAAAAAATCGGACTCTCTCGCTGCCATGTAAAGGTAATTTGTGGGTATATAATGGGTGGGTATTTATGGGTGGTAATATTTATATAGGCACTGATAGAAATAAAAGAAGTATTTTAGTACATTTTAGTAATTTCACAGTTTCACACAAACGCTTAAACCATTTTCCATATGAAAATTATATCTTTATAATATGTTATAATTTATTCTGGTGTACAAAACTTATTGATAATATTACATAGAATTATTAGAAATATAATATGAAAGACAAAGAATTTCGTCGGAAAAAAATCCATTAAAAAAAACAAAAAAATCGAAGAGATGAAGTAGAAAAACCAGCAGGTAATGGTAAAATGCAATCATATTCAAAGGTCATATTGATACCAATTGTAAAGGGTCATTGGACAGAAAACTTAGACTCAATCTATATCTTGGTTGTGATTTAAAGAGTTGGTGAGTGAACGAATAAGACAAATAGCATCTACCCTAATTCAAATTTTGTAAGTCAAAGTATAATTCCATGTATTAAGTAATCTAATTTTTCATGGGGCTGTTTTAGTCTATATTTTCTTCGTCTCTAGATATTGATGTAACCGCGTCTGATGCGAAGCGAATGTAAACAGAAGCGTAACGTATCGTAGCACCATTTTCGATGATTGAATAAAAATATCGCTCTACGAATCCACGAACAATAGAGCTTGTTTGATTTAATCAGGAATTCAATAAATTTCACTCAAGGAATTCCCTCAACATATTGACGGTGAACCGAAGAAGGACCGGGTGACACATCTTTCCCAATTTTATGTGAAGTAATGTTTAAAAATCCTTTTAAATTAATAACATTTACATTCTCATTCGAATTTCTGGGACAATTGAGTTTCTAATGCTGTTTACAGGCTCCCTTCAATTTACTCTATGATCAGCAAATTAAAATAACTCTCATAATGTTGCTGTACTGTAAACGGTGCTCTCAAAAGACTTTTTTTATGAGTAACTTTTTTATGTGTTTATCTCAAAAGATATCAGAAAGAACTTTGATTCAAATGTTAACTGACAATGGTCAAATCTTATTCACGAAAAATTTAAGGGTGATAATTAGTAATGTAAAAAAAATAATTATCTACGATATCTTAGCAGATTAGGCTCTAGTAGTGAGTCTGTATAAAAATTAGTATTGTTATAAAATTTTATTGACTTTCTCAGTTCTATTTTAATAAGTAAATAAATCCGTTTGTTGTTTATGGGTGCTGGTTTTAGTTTATTACCTTTTACGCTTGGGCGTACAATATGTCGACTTGAAAATTTTTTATCATCAGATCCTAAAAACAAAACTGCAAATTACATACATTGGTAACCACGGAAAGAGCCTTATTATTGAACATTGTTGAAGACGAGTTCAGCTTACAAAACATAAATTTGGTATAAAAACAAAAGTGGTAATGGGGTCTGCAATAGTTTGTAACATGTGAATCAAGTTGTTCTTCAAATTTACACTAATCATAATTAAAAGTTTGAAGGAATCATATTCATAATCGTCGTTGAGTAGCACTCATATTTAAATAGCTGACGCTTTCACACAAATTCTTTGGATCTCTATAACACTGTGAAGCTGACAAATGGATGTTTCGTACTGGTAGTGATCAGGAGGATATTATAAATTAAACGGAACACGTCATCTATCTGGCTCAGACGTGGTCCTTTCATCTAAATTAATGAGGTCCGATTTAATCCGTGTATTGATCTCTGAT